CGGTAAAGTCGCTGAACACTGGTAGTTCGGTCCGAGGTTCGAATCCCGCGAACGGGCTGGCTGCATGAGCGTTTTTGTGGTTTTCCCCATGTGTAGCGTGTATACGAGCCAGTTTCCCTTAGAAAGTCCTCCACGAAGGCATCCCTCCCCTTAGGCAGATAGGCTTTGCCTCGAGGCTTTGCCATAATCACACACACTTGACAACCTCTCTCTAACTCTTCTCCTTCACTGGAAGCTTTTTCCCACCACACCCCTCAGTGTTTCTTTGTAACCGTATATAATAGGAACCCTACTGACATTACTGCTTGTGACACGAAAATTGTCATCAATATGAGTGATTAGCATGTCGTCAATATCAGTGATTATCACAACAGTAAAAAGAATGGAGATGTCGGGCCACTATCACAATGCAATAAATTTCCTTACTGTATATTATGTACAGGTGGATAAACATAATTTTCAATCTAAAATTTGCAAATATGAATTTTATTGCTTTATTGGGAAAAGAAATATTTTTATTTCTAGCTTTCCTTGAAGCAGTTCACTATAATCTACAGGACACAAATTATTTGCCTTTTAATGTATAGTACGGCTTAAATTTTCAATCTGCCTTTCAATTATTGCATCTGACAGTGAGAAAGAATGCAGTCGAATCATGGACCATGACCGCCTAGGATCACGAACAAATCGGTTCATGGATTTATTTTCCATTTGAAAAATACCTTAGATGACATAAGATGACTTGGGTTACGAACAAGAAGCAACATATTATACTAAAAAATTTCAGTTAATGTAGTGAAGGAAATGTCTTAAGATGTTCCTAGTTACCTGATTAGCAAAATATCTGTGAAAATGGGATGAAATGCAAAAATTCAAAGAAAACTATCACCTGGATAAAGTAACAGCATAATATTTACAATGGCAATGCACGTCTTGTTTTAAGGACATTTAAAAACGTAGACAGAACTAAATCGCATTGACAAAATTTTTAATAGGAAAAGACTCAGCAATTTTAAAATAGAACTTATTTATATTATAACTTTTTTATTTCATTTTATTTTTTATTTCTTATAACTTTTTTATTTCATTTCAAGAGATTGTTTAGTGCTGTCTTTTTTTATCTGGATATTTTGTGGATAAATTAAGAATATTTTTAATTTCAACCCTTTTTAATACAATGACAGATAAGAAATGCACTCGTGATTTTACTGCTTGCAACGTTGAAAAACGTAAACACGTTGCATTGCGGTAATGAAAAAAATGAAAATTCTGCTAAAGATGGAGGCAGGTGCTACTGCTTGGTTTATAGCAGAATCGTATGGAATTGCCACACGGACTGTGTATGATATACGGAACAATAAAAAAAAGCTGTTGAAATTTTACAGCGACATTGATTCTAACACCGGAATTCGAAAACGGAAATCCTTACATGAGGCGAAATCGGCAAAACTCGATGCTGTCTTGTAGGAGTGGTTCCTGCAGCGGCGGAGTGATGGGGTACCTATTTGTCTACTCCTGAGAGAAAAGGGGAAGCAGATTCATGCTGATTTAAAAATAGAGGAGCTTAATGTAAATGAACAATATAATATAATCAGTTTATATATGTAATAATAATTTAATGCATATAATTAATTATTGTATTAATGTATATAATAATTTAATTAAATGTATCCAATGCGCCTTATTTATTTTACTTATTATTATATGCAAAAAGTGCAAATTCTGCAAAAGGTGGAAGCTGGTGCTACTCCTCGATTTATAGCAGAATGGTATGGAATTGCGACACGATTGCATATGATATACAGAAAAATAAAGAAAAGCTGTTGAAATTTTACAGCAACAGTGACACGAAACCGGAAAACCGAAATCCGAAACCGGAAATCTTTGCATGAGACGAAATCGGCACACCCCGATGCTGTGTACATATAATACAATGAATAATATAATCAATTTATATATTTAATAATAATTTAATGCATATAATAAATTATTGCAATAATGTATATAATAATTTAATTAAATGTATCTAATATGCTTTATTCATTTTGCACTTTTAGTCCGAATATCATGCTTTATCTTTTCTGTCCTGAAATCCTTAAAATCCGCACAACCTGTGGTCCCAAGCTTTGTGGATTTCTGGAATTCTACTGTATTTCAGGTGTCGTTTCTGAAAATATTTCGGCCGTCAAAATATTTTCAGGAATAAATTAAATTCGTGAGCCCAATTTTCACTGTGTACAGCAATGTGGGGAAAGTTTTTAATTACTGTATTAACGATATAGTGCATAACTGATATAGCGTACAGTATAATTTATTATTATTTATTAATATATGTAAAGACAGCCACTTCTCATATTCTACATATCCATATGGGCAGTTAGGCCTACAGCTTCCACGTGGTTTCAGAGAGAACCACACAGTGAACATTCAGGAATGTGTTTATTAGCCAAGCCGTAATGTCATAAGGTCAGACATTCCATTGTCGGGGAGTATAAAAGGGTGTGTTTATCGAACAAAGGGAGATTGTGCCTATTGTAAATAAAGCTATTTATCTGGGGATCAAATATACCTTATATTTTCAGTGGAAGGAGCACATTAACTATGTCAGAAACAAAATGCTGTGGGTGATTCAAAGCCTCAACTCTCTACTTTCTCCAGACTCCAAACTGGACCTGAAAGGTAAGCGTCATATTCATAGCTCGATCATCAGGCCTCTTTTGCCTACGCATCGCCCACCTGGGTTTCTGTCAAAAAGAAAGAGCTAAATAAGCTCCAAGTCACGCAGAACAAATTACTCCATTATTACGTCTCAAATCACAACAAAGAATTGAAAATTGAGACGGTAGACGATTATCTTCACAGGATGAATTTCTTTAGTAAAGCTCAAGGCATCTAAATAATTTAAATGTATTCAATCATGTTGTGCTTGAGGGAGATTCTGTACTTTAAATCTCTCACGGCCCACCTCAAATTTCCCTACTTAATTATTCACTCTATCATGCAAGCTTACACTTTTCGGCTAATCTTTGGAATATGGTAACAGGTAGTTTGGCGACATTTTGGTAAGGCGATAAAGGTTACTAGCTAGGACTTTAGCAGTGTACATGGATAAGTCAAGAGTGTGCGCAATGCCATTTTTGTGCAATTCTGGGATGTTTTTTTAAGTGCAAATAGGTCGACGTGTACATGGATGATACTGTGTATGTGCAATTCTTAAAAACGCGGCAAGCATTTTAATGGCGATTCTGCACTTTCTCCCAATTTCGCACCTAACCTTCGTCATGATTAAGCACTTTTGTTCCAAAAAAGAATAATTAAAAAAAAAATGCTTTACTTCGTGAAAACAAAATGGCGTCCAAAAAAAAAACTAGTAGGTTGCTGTAACAGGAATGGTCGCCAAATTTTCACCAAAAAATCGCCAAGTTACCATAATCTGAAGATTAACCCACTTTTCTTAGTACTTGTTTTATGTTGTATTTTGTAGCTTCAGTTTATTTGCATTTATTTGTAATTATGTATCATATTTTGTATATTACTTTGTATTTTAATGTTTATCTTATGTCAGTTGTAGTTCACTTATACTGTTATACTTATTTTGTCCTGACTTGTGTCTCTGTTTTTATGTCACAACATAAGCATGCACTTCAGTTTTTCCTCGCTGCTCCTAGGGTTATTTTTCATTTTCTGGTTGTGCTTCTTCAGCTTTGTGATTCAAGTTCACTCCCCTTTTTACCTATCTTAACCCTCCTACCTAATTGTCCTGTAATGTCTACTGTCATGTGCCCATTGGGCTTTGCCTCATGAGCCGGACATGTCGAAGTATGGATACAAAGGAAGATTTTTCGCTTGTTTAGATAACTGCTCACCTCGTGGAAACGAGTTCTTGGTGAAGTACGTTGAAACGTTGAGTGGGTTAAAGATGTTTCTTTGATTATTTTGATTGTTAATAGTTACCTTGTATTTTAAATCTGAGGTAAAGGCTTTATGCTGTTAACTCCGCAGCTCTGATTTTCTGGATGATATGTGATATTATTATATTATATTTGCAACAAAATTGAATTTTAAGTGCATACATGATATTTAATAAATAAAGCAAACGCATAAAAAGTTTATAAGAAGTTTTTGCTAACCATCTTACTATGTGAACTGAGAAATGACTTGGAAAAAAAAAAAGCATACCTACATCTAACACTTAACTACATTTCGAAATTCAGGAAACATTAGCATTTTAAAAATTTTGTGATTTTGTTGCTGAACTTTATGTAGTATTAGTGTGAAGAAAACAATGCCTTATAATATTTTTTAAATAAATAAAAAATGAATAAATAAATAAAAAGGCTTTAACAGAAATGAATGCAAGAACAAACTAGTAGAGTGTGATGTCAGGAAGAGAATAAAAAAACCTTAACAAACTCTTCTGGGTGACCACGTTGGCATTGCAGCCCAATGCAATCTCTGTAGATCCTAAATTCTGCTTCTTAAACTCTAAAACTTTTGCTGCACCGAAATTGTTCTGTCTACAGCCCTCTCTCAATTTAAAAAATTTTGCGACCCATAAATTTCACTACTTGAGCGTTTTTTAAATTCTAAAAATCTGTGTTGCCACTTTTTACGGGTGGATTAAAAAATACTAAAAAAAGATAAAAACTAAGTAACAATAATGAAGTAATTTAAAAACGAAAGATAAAAAAAAAATGTGGCATGGCATGAAACTAATTTTCGGACACTTTCAGTAAATCTTGATAAAATTAATTTTAAGGCATGGAAGTTTTAATATTAATGGTTAAGCTAAGCATTGCGATGAAAACACATAACAACTGAAATAGAGTATTTAGAAACTCTTAAATAAAAATTACACAGTAAAGATTAAAGTTTCTTCCAGACTTGCAGAAGGAGCATATTCTAAAAGCAAACACCTGTTTGGTGTTGTCTGAACAGTTGCTCATATACACATCTACACAAAAATATAAATATTTGCGAAAGAAAACTATGTTACATACCCCTTCTTCTTGCATCAACAAACGGGGGGCTTTCTTGGTAAGTCTGTAAACACAAATTTTTATGTTCCCTATTCCTTGTTTTTTCCAATCTCCATCGCTAAATGAGAACAGTATTCCTGGCCCGTAAAACGTTACTTCTTCAATCTCATTTAGAAAATTGTCGTCAGCCTATAATAATAGTAAGAAAAATGTAGGAAAGAAAAATATCCATAATAAAAATACTGAACTAAAAGGGAAAAAAATCATTGTTAAACAAATACAGATTGAGAATATTCAACAAAAGAAGTGGTTTGAATGTATGGATTTTGATATCTGGCAAATATCCTCCACGTCTGATACAGAATTGATGATTCATCACCATTTTTGATAACTGAGTTTCACATAAATTTATTATACCATTTCATAATTACTTTGCTGAAATAATTTATTGCAGAAGAAAAGTAATCATAAAACTGCAAGACAACTCAATTTTTCTCATGGTAATATGTAAAGTTTATTCTTTCTTTCAGTCATTAATGCTTCATGTTCCTTCGATTTTAACATTGAATTAATTTTAAATTCAAGATTTTAGCATGCAATATTTTTTAACTGTTTTTTTTTTTTTTTTTTTTTTTTTTTGTTTTTTTTTTTTTTTTTTTTTTTTTTTTTTTTTTTTTTTTTTTTTTTTTTTTTTGTTTTTTTTTTTTGTTTTTTTTTTTTTAGACTGTTTTTTCCCGAGAATATGTCAGACAGGTAACATTCTGTTTGGTAAGTGTGTGTGTGTGTTCGGAATTCTGTTGTGGTCTAGGGTGCCTTGTAGTCTCTTCTTGAATTAGATTAAAAGTATCTATGACTTTGGAAAGTAAGCTTCGTTTTGGATTCAGATCCAGCTTGGCAGGTAATTTTATGCCATATATTTTAATTTAATCGCTCACAAGTGGTGAGGTAGAATAAGCTTAGTGTTTTAATTCTATGTCTATTTGTTTGACAGTTAGCTATACTGGTTGTGGTAATGCACCTCAGAGAGTATATGTAATTAATACCTTGTTGGGACGGTAATTGTACTAGCTAAGTAGTTGGAACTTAACTATAGGTGACACATTCTTTGTAGACTATTACCAGTCAACAAACTGGGTAATTTAAATTAGGTGAAATATTTAATCTTTTGGATGAATTTCTCTCACCAAATGAAATACCGTGGGAATGCTGTGCAGATATGTGCACTGCTCGATCAGAATGGTGGAGCCATTGCTAAAATTAAAGGTAAGAACAAAGAAATGTGGCAATAGACACTAGATATGGGCTAGTGTCGAGGAAAAATGCTATTTTGAACGTAAATAGTTAAATAACGCATAATAATAATATAAAATCACTGCTTCTTAAAAGCACAATCTTCAAAGTGGTAAGTAAAGATTGGGAATCCACTATGAATCCTTCTTGCTACAAGCCGAAATAAGGTTTGACGAAAAGTGTCGACACATTTGATTAAACTGTTGCAGAGACAGCGTTCATCTTTGATGTACCATAACTTGCGGCGTTTTATCCCCCCCCCATTTCTTTAACATCTACCACTGACTAAATGTTTTGATGTCTTCTGAATGAGAAAAAGAACTTTTCTTATCTGTTTTGCAAAGTTAGTGTACATACTCTATTTATCGATCAGATTAATGTCATTCTAACACTATTTAATAATGAAGTCTGGGTATGGAATAATTTAATGAAGCCTAAGTATGGAAACTGGCATATTTGGCAGAAATCTGTATTAAAATATACGAAGTATATCTATAAGATACAATAACATGCCGAACAAGTATTAATTTAGAAGTAAAACACTTTTGCAGCTGAGGATGATGGTTCCGTAAAACTATCGAAACTCTTCTTGTGAAAATTTGAAAATACAGTCAAAAGTCGTTGATTCGGACACCCATAATCCGGAATGATCTATAATTCGGACCTCAAAGCTACAAACTTTCTGCACATGCGTCACGTTGACGCATGCACGTAAGACCTTTACGGTTGCGAATATGCGTGTGCACATGCGCGTTTAATGTCTAACGGATGGTATAAGCTAAGCTAAAATTATCTAATTCAGTTAATGTTGCAGATTGCGTTGTTCCTTAATCTTCGAATTGGATCCGGCTTATTATTTTTTGCAGACTGTTACAGCAATTTTATAAAAGTAAGCTTGAACTTTCGATTATGTCAAATAGAATTTCTGATGCTGGAGCTCCCAAAGAATCTACAAAGCGAAAGTACGTTTCGATGTCCATCAAACAAAAAGTGGAATTGCTGCAAAAAATGGATAAAGACATGAAGAAAGTGACAGGGAGGTTAGTGAAAACGAAAAAATTTCGATTGACAAGTTAGTCGGTATTCTCGGCAGAGCAATTACAGGACTTGAACAGCGGAACTTTGTTACTGAAGAAGAAATTATGTCTGTTTATATAGAATTAAAGAGAAAGTATTAGCACATAAAACAAAGCAACTTAAACAACTTACGTTGAAAGAAATGTTTAATAAAGTAAACAAATAAATACAGTCAAAAGTCGTTAATTCGGACACCCGTAATCCGGAATGATCTATAATCTGGACCTCAAAGCTAAAATCTTTCTGCGCATGCGCCCCATTGACGCATGCGCATAGGCGTTTTACTCGTGTGCGCAAGACATTTACGACTGCGCATATGCGTCTGCGCAAGTGCAGAATACGTTTTCGCGTGCGCGTTTAATGTATAACGAACGGTATAAGCTAAAATTATCTAATTATCTATTTCATTTAATGTTGATAATTGCGTTGTTCCTTAATCTTCGAATTGGATCCGGCTTATTATTTTTTGCAGACTGTAAGAGCAATTTTCTAAAAGTAAGCTTGAACTTTCGATTATGTCAAATAGAATTTCCGATGCTGGAGCTCCCAAAGGATCTAGAAAACGAAAGTATGTTTCGATGTCCATCAAACAAAAACGAATTGCTACAAAAAATGGATAAAAGCATATCCTTTGTTTATCTAACCGTTCCGAAATCTGTTTATCAATTTCACGCTGCTCTGCGCGGGGGGGGACGTCGCGGCGCGCAATGAACGGGAAGTTGATCTGTCAACACTATCATTATCTTCAGGGCAGATGTTTTTATTTTATTCGGCTTATAATTCCTTACTAAATGTAGTATTTAATTTCGATGTACTCCGTCTTTATACGATTTAAATCAAATTCCTCGTCATTATAAATATCACGAATACAAATCAAATAGTTTTTCTGGTTGCAATTTTCTAATTTCGGCTATGCGTAAGGTATGCTTTACGCATCCGCGCGTTGAAAGAAATGTTTAATAAAGTAAACAAATAAATATTAGGCTTCTTTTTTTTTAGTAAATTTTGATACCCTTTAGATCATAATTGCTCATTATTTTTATAAATTACGGTTTCATATTTTTAATTTTATAATTTCTTTCTGCATGCCATCTTACCAGATTTAAACTGATGATCTATAATCCGGAAAAATCGATAATCCGGAATCGCCGAAGTCCCGACGAGTCCGGATTAAAGACTTTTGACTGTATTAAGCTTTTTCTTTTTGTAAATTTTGATACCCTTTAGATAATAATTGTTCTTTATTTCATAAATTATGGTTTCATATTTTTAAATTTATAATTTATGCATGCCATCTTACCAGATTTAAACTGATGATCTATAATCCGGAAAAATCGATAATCTGGAATCGCCGAAGTCCCGACAAGTCCGGATTAACGACTTTTGACTGTATAACACTGATTTTTGTTGACTTCTAAATTAATAAATCTATGAGTGTAAAGGAAAAAATGTCACAATTTTTTATGCAAACGTCTAAGCGTCTTCTTTTAATAGGAAGCTTATTTATTTGTTGAGAGTGCATGGAATACGAAGGCATCCTCTTGCAAAGTGAACGTGAGGAACTCTTCATATTGAAAATTTTTAAGTTCATAAGGTATGTCATTTTTATTCAAATAAACAGCATTTAGGTACATGTAAAAATCTAATTTTTGTACGCTAATTTTTTCTTTATTTTGAATGTTCCATTTTCATATCCAGAGTATAACGTGCACCCCTAAATGTCTATCTTATTTTTTTAAATTCCTACTATTAGCTCACACTCTCCCTATATCTTGTTCAAATTTTCAATCAATAAAATAATTTTTATTCATCCACTCAAGTTCAAATACATTTTTTTAACTTGTAGTGGATGACACTTGATGTTAATATTTTTTTTTTTTTTTTTTTTTAATTTTTAAAATTTTTCTTTGTTGACCTAAGTAGGAATTGACTTTAAAAAAAAAAAAATTGTTTTTATATTACTTGTTTAGTAAAAGTTTGCATTATACGCCGGAATATGCAGAAAATAACAGATACCGTAATTTCCGGAAGAAACGCCGCGGCGTTTACGTGGTTAAAACTTAAATTTTCAGCGGGTGCGGCGTTTCTACCCATGCGGCGTTTAGGTGCACTAAAAATAAAATATTTCCTATGATGGTCATTGTACATAGTTTGGATGGCCTTGTCATTGTGCATAGACTGGTGCTGTTCCCACACAAAAGACCACTCAGTTGCTTTTTGCCAACGTTATTTTGTTTACATTCTTTCCCTTGAACGGACCTACATGCCTTATTCACCCTAAATGAGATCTCAGAGGCAGTCTCGGCCACATGGGTATATCATTTATGAACTTGGCGGTTCCAGAACCCCTGAGGGAAGACCGTTTGTACAGTTGGACCAAAGGGGGGAAAGGCTATAGGCCACTGGGCAGGTGGTATCGCGAGCCACGGTGTTGGTAGCGGTAAGGTGGTGGCCAGTCCACTACTACTCTGGTATTCCATGTCAAACCTTCTGCTTGGTGGACTGCCCGTGTAGTACTGGCAGGAGCGCAACCGGCCGGTAGAGCGGCCAAGATTATAGGACCACACCTCATGGTGGTCTCAGTTCGCGGGGAGTGGTGACCCCCGTTGACCCGTTCAGCCGTGAAGAACGAGGGCATTTCTGACCCGTCGCCCGTAAGTGTGGGCCGGTGCGGCGGTGTATCGTTACTTTTTTAAGCGCTTTGTGGGCACTCTAGTCTGAATGACCACCTCCCGCCTAATACGGAGGCATTTAGGGTTTCAGACCCGGTAGTACGGTCGGTAAGAGACTGTGGAGCCGGTAAATTTAAATGATAGTTCCCC